CATCATTCATGGACTCACATGCATGCTGAATTCGATGGGATTGTGGAACCAGGCGCTACCGGCATGCGGATTCCGGGAGTGGTGTCAATGCCCAGCTCTATGTAGGGCATTAATTTGAGCTGTAGCTACCAGAACCGAAACATGTTGCGCGGGCCCGCAAGGTTGACGCGTATGTCTACTCCAATCAAACCGAACGTTGATGTCGTGATGGGAGAGGATCCAGAGACGTCGTACTTTGCATGATGAGATGGTGGCCTGCAATCAATTCGACACGAGCTGCATACCGCGGATTCCCGGCAGCCGCCGGGGTCTCCCGCCACCATGCAGCTCTGTCCCCAATGAGCCATCGCGCCACTTACATGCTGCAGGCATGAATTGCATACGTGCACTGTGCAAGTGCCCAAGGCGAGCCGTCTGGGAGGCTGCAGCAAGCATGGGACCCGCAATACTACAGTACTCAGGTTCACTTCCACGAGCTCCGATTACGAATATTTGGCCTTCAATCAATGGGGTGACTGCGTGAGACTCTGGTACAACATGTCGACGCAATCATGTTTGACGAGAATGACTCTAGCCAAGCTACACAATCTTCAACACATTGCGGTTTGATGAATTTTACAGATTTTGAAGTCCTACTATGCTGTACCAGTCTCCTTTCCCAAAAGCATCCAAAACAATGTCACAACTGACCGGTGTGAAACAGATTCGTCTTAAAGAAGTCCTTCCACGCAAAACGCTTCGGCCTTGCTAATGATGGATTATCATTCACCCACGCCCAATGGGATCCCCAAGTATGCGCTTAGTGCGAGATCACCGGGTACGGGATTGCGGCCTCCTTCCGCCGCTTGGGCGCGAGCGAGTACAGCTGCAGCAGCTCCCCGAGGACGCCCTTCATGATGGGGCGCGGCACAATCATGTCCAACAAGCCGTGCTTGAACAGCGACTCGGCGGACTGGAAGCCCTCAGGAACCTCCTGGTTCAGCGTCTGCTCAATCACGCGCTTGCCTGCAAACGCAATGTAGCTCTCCGGCTCCGCGAGGATGAGGTCACCCAGCATGCCGAAGCTGGCGGTGACACCACCGGTGGTGGGTGACGTCAGCACCGCGATGTAGAGCAGGCCCATCTTTGTCTGGTGGATGTGCAGCGCCGACGAGATCTTGGCCATCTGCATTTCAAGGTTGCACTCTCGTTGGAAACCCTGGGGAAAGGCTGGTCAAGGCTGAAGGAGCAGTGTCATAGGCGAAGCTCGAATGACTCACTTGATGTGCTCAAACGTGCAGAGTGGGAAGTTTGAACATCCGCTCACCGACATTCACCTGATTCACGGTTGGCATCGAGTTACTGAGAGAATCGCAATCAACCGCCGATTCTATCTTGATGCAGTGTGTGCGCAGTGCGCAAGCTAACTGTAGGCTAGGAATATCGGGAAACTTGGAGCAGAAGATTTGCGCTCGCTTTTTGCTGCCAAAGCATCGGACCTTCAATCTTCAAAGTCGAGGCATCTGGTCCGCGAATCTCGCCCAGACTTAATCACTGTTGGCCATCTGCTTGCCCGTCTTTTAGATATCTAACAGGACATCAACCGCCAGGGGAAAAGGATCAAACCCGACATCAAATTCGAGAAGAACCTCGTACGATTTCCAATCGATGTAAACAGGTGCGATAGACTAGGTACTTCGACGAGTGTTGATATCGAAGTCCACATGCTCAAACTTCCAGCCAACTAGCCAAGACTGATGTCGAAACACCCTAAACTGGCTTTGACTCTGATTCTGTGACGGAGTTAAGCGGATAGCAAGCTGCACTTTTGAGTTGAAAAAGAAAGAGCCAACTTTGATATGGACGAACTAAGACCAGAATCAAAGCCAACAAATGCGCAACGGCGCACCTGCATGAGGGAGAGCGTTCCCTCCTGCATGCGCGCGCCTCCCGATGCGCACACAATGATCAGCGGCAGCTTGAGGTGGATCGCATGCTCAATCAGGCGGGTCAGCTTCTCTCCGACCACTGACCCCATGCTCCCCCCCATGAACTGGAAGTCCATTACGCCGAGCGCAACCGGAACCCCGTACAGCTTCCCTGTGCCAGTCTGCACAAAAACGTCAAGAAATGGCGTAAATGGCTCTGAAGAAAAAGGAAAGGATGATTCCGACAGACTATTTTACAAAACTACAGAGTTATCATAGACAGGAAGCGCCACAGAACAGCAGTAACAAGTAACAAGCGCGACGAACCTGCACGGCGTCGGTCATGCCGGTGCGGTTCTGGTACTCGATCAGCCGATCGCAGTAGTTCTCTTCATCAACGAAGCCGAGCGTGTCCTTGGACATCATGTTCTCATCGAGCGGCGCCCACGTGCCGGGGTCGATCAGCAGGTCAATGCGCTCGGTAGAGCTCATCGGGAGGTGCGAGCCGCACTGGTCGCAGATGCGCTTGTTCTGCTTCAGGATTTTGACGTACAGCATCGCCTGGCAGGACTCGCATTGGACCCACAGACCGGCGGAGGGGTCTTTAGGGGCGCTGCTCGCCTTGGGGATGAGGGAGCGAACGAGGTCCTGAGGCAGGGGTCGGCTGATGTCAGAAACTGTCGGATGCATCAGTATGCTTTGGTCCCAGATAAGGAGACGACAAGCGGACTTGAATGTCATGTATAGACAACGGAGAACAAGTGGACAACAGCTGTTTTAGTTAATGAAGAGGCCGAGGCTAGTTCGTTGATGGAGTCAAGTAGAGATGCAGGCTCCAAATGGCCCCTATTGCAACCCCTGACAACAGCAGGAAGTTCAGCAGAAAGAGGATGTATACTGGGGTTGCTTCTTCGCGAAAGCAGACCAACAAGAAGTGCTGACCCAGCGAAGACTGGAGGGCTGCTGAGAGCACACAGGTCAGTTCTGTCTGTGCTTGCAACTTCAGCAAATGACTCCACCCAGAAAACGCCGCTCTTGATGAATCAACTACAGAATGCCGCTCTCAACTCTTTCTTCTTGAAGTTCCTTGACTACGGAGCATGGGCCAACTGAAATGCTTTGTAGAGGCCTATGGGCAAGGAGGGAAAACGGCCACGTCAGGACGATAGCGATCTTCTCAAAGAAACCAACATTTTCTGATGGTTGGCTTAAATCAAGTGATTATTTGCGGAGAGAGCTGAGCAACTCTGACAAAATAATCGAATGAGACATACTCTTTCGCCTTGCGCACCTGCAGCAAACTCACGCCTCGCTCACCTTTGGCATCCCATTCTCCGCATCCCCAGTCTGCCCACTGCCATCTACCGCCCTCAAGCGCCCCACTGAGGCCAGCCTGCTGCGTCTGAAAAGCCTCACTCTGTCCCCATCCTTCCCGCTATACAACAAAGCACACCTTGCCTGATATCCGCTGTGTTGTTGCGGAGTAAATTCACTTGCAAATCTATCCAGGCCCGTGCAGATAGATCTCAACGAGCTCCCTGCAAGAGTTTGAAGAGCGCTCGCCATTGCTATGGGTCCCTATCCCACCAATGTAATATGCTCATCTAAGATGCTAAACAGGCTCAGTTCGAGCCACCATCGACCACTCACTTCGCCCTTCAAAGGCACCCGACCACTGCCAGCTGACGGACAGCATTGCCGAGACGAAGAGCAACGGGAAAGGGTCCCACCAGGTCACGGACCTTGCTCAATTTCAAGCCTCAAGCTTGAGCAGTGGCAAGGCTGCCCCGGTCCATCATGGGCCCATTCCACGTCATCATGCCAATGTCCGGTGGGAATGTGGAGATCCGACGTCGGAGCCCGACGGCGACGCTCGGTGTCGCGGCCGCACTCGCCACGCATAAGGAGAGCCG